CGAGCTGAGTCGAACTATATAACATTATACATGAAAAAAGCGTAAACTCACCTAGTTATAGAGAAAAGACGAAAAAGACGCGAATCCGCGTCTTTTTCGCCTTTTTTTGAATAATTAGGGTGGGTATTGTAAGGCAGTTGACGCTAATGTCATAGACGAATGTGAGCTAGTCCAAATCTTTGTTTTCTTCTGAGGTCAGCTCCAGAAAAAGGGGTTCTCGTACGTTTTCGTTGTTTTTGCTTCCTTCATTACTAGAACAATGAGTAACAGTTGATTTCTGTTTCAGCTTCTTGCACCCTCTTGGAATTTCGTGTCCTTCGGTTTTATTTATTTATTTATTTATGTGTCGTACACTCACGCTGCACCAACAGCCAAATAATCGTTAATCCTATGCCATTTTGTCCTCATTCAAGTTTTCATATCGGTGACTTCTTCACGATAACTTTAGGGTATTGAGGTTCAAACGAGTAATGGAAGTGATAGTTCAGAATAGTGACCAGTGACGAAGAAAACGCATATAGTCGCATATTTGGAAATTTAAAGCTTCCAAGAAAAAGTGAGATTAGGGGTTGGACGAGAATGTGACGGCATTTGGGGGCGTGTGCAAATCCTGGGAGTGTACGTCGGCTAAGTTGATTCTGGGGCCCTTGTTACGCCCCACCTTGGCCGTTTTTGACCCTACAGCATCTCTTAGGAGTACTTCCAAAGACACCCAAAGATAAATCTCAGAAACCATTTTTAATGTGAAGTGTGCCTTTGAGCGCCAGTAATGGAAATCGTGTCATTTGTGAAACAGTACGATGATGAGCACTTTCAAGGAAGATTTTTTGATATTTAATTCGTAACAGATTTTGGCTAGTCTAAATTCTCGAAAAGGAATGAGTTGTGACGAAAAAAGAAAAACAAAATCTATTCCGTGGTAATCTGACTCGGCAGATGAAGAAACCGTAGTAAAGTTTTCACAGTGGTAGGTTGTAAGGGGTGATAGGTGCATTGAATTGCTGAAAAAAGCCCTGAGAAAGGGAGTAGCATCAGTTTAAAATACCATCATGTCTTTTAGTTATATGTTTGTGTACGGGCTTTGACACAGACTTATTTCGAGCCTTTATTGTCTGACTGCCGACTAACATGAGACAGGAACCAACCGCACTGTATCGTAGATCGGGAAGCGATGGCAATGAGGCGGGCCTCTGCATGCCCTTAATCCATTGACGACAATGCAGTCCACATGTGAACTGCTGTTGAATTTTCTTTATTCATCTGTATTTCCACTTTTTTACAATTTTCTTCTCAAAACATTACAGACTCAAATGAAATTACATGCAGCGTGGTCCTAAAAAATCTTCTAATTTTGCAATTTTAAAGATAATAACAGTAACCATAGGCATGCAATGATAACCAAACAAAAATCAATCACAAATCAAAAGTTCTGTGTGATTTATTGAGATACTCAATACAAAAATAAGGGTGGCATTTACTGCAGCGGAAGTTTACTCTTCTCGGGTGGGATAAAGGTATTGACGCCCTTGGGATTGTTTTGAAATCGTTAATTCTGCATTGACAATGGTGGTTTGGGTGATCGAATGAAAGGAAATCACCTTCCACCACCTGCACGTTTTCTTTACGAAAGCGGTGTACGCGGTCATTTGGTCCGATTGATCAACATAACCATTCATAGTATTGTAGTCGTTAACCACCATAGGTTTCATGTTCCCTCCAAGGCTGACGTCGTTCTTTTTAGAAATCAACAGCATTGTCCGTTTGTCCTTGCATTTCAATACCATGATTCTTTTTCGGTTTTGTAAGGCAAGAACTTCACCTTTTTGAGCCTTCTATCCTTGATCATTTTTGGTAAGCCTTGACGGTTCCGTCTCACTATACCGATCAGGTCGGTCTTCCTTGCCAGCCGTTTTTCGGCGAGACTTACACTTGAATGAAAGTTGCCTGTGCATAGTCTTTTTCCCTTGTCCAGAATCTCTTCCATCAGTTTAAGAACTACCGAGTCTGCTAACGGCCCATTTCTGTGAGGACCATTCCAGCATAAATTTTGATTTTTGAAGTATATCCCCCTTCCGCACTAAGTTTGAAAAGTTTGATGCCATACCGGTGCCTTTTTGGAGGGATGTATTGCCTGATGTGAATTCTTCCTCTGAAGGGAACTAGTGAATCATCGACATAGACGTTTCTGCCGGCTTTGTAGTACTTCATGCATCGTTCGTTGAATAGCTTCAAAAAATGAGATATTTTGAAAAGACGTTCCTTATTGGCATTTTCACTGTTATCGACCAGATGCGAAGCTCGTAAAAACTCTTCGAAACGACTTCCGGTCATGAGCGAGCTCATAATTAACCCATTGCGTACCGCAGTATTTTGCGCTAGCTGCCGCATGGGCTCGGTGTTTTCTTCATAATCGAGGCGGCGACGTGGTTCACGGTGTGCAGCACACAGCCACACAGAGCGGTTGTTTGAGTGAATCGCAAAGTATGGGCTGTTCGAACTTTATTCAAATTCTAGGGTGGTTTTGGACGAAAACGCGGCCGCGCAGAGGCAGAGAGGCGTGCTGCACCATGTGCAGCACGCGGTACGCAATGAGTTAAATGACCATCAAGTGCCACTTCTGAAGAGCAGTAGTCTCTCAATGTGGGCATTTTCACCAAACCCATTTCGAGGCACATTCCAAAAAACTTGGACATTTCTCTTCTGTTGGTTTCATTGAACGTTTTTCTAACTGCAGCAGCTTTTGCGTTGCCATACCTGATGGTTGCAGTCGTGATCAAATTCATGGTATCGTCGCCCAAGAAAAATTTTGAGAAACCGATTGGCTCTCCACAACTGAAGGCATAATCATGTACACCGCAGTTCTCACCTAAGGTGAATCCATCGTATTTTTCACTTGACCAAGAACCCATGCTGTCTTCATCCTGTGAGCTACTGTTATCAGATTCTGTTCCTGGTGCAGTAGAAAGTGCATAGGCTACACCATCCTCATCTTCTGCCTGCTCCTCATCAGAATTAACCAGTTGCTGACTAAAATTCAAGTTCGGCATACCATCATTATTAGCCATAACTTAATTTGCAAATTCAGGTAAAATTCAAGAATCCCCATCTCAAAATTCAAAAAAAATGCATTTGCGTGCAGTCGAAAATCATGCCGGTCCCTCGCGGCGCTTTTTCCGCCGAAAGTCATTGTTGGTAATGGGTTGAAGGCACAGTTCACGATAGAAATGGCTTCTGAGTTTTCCTCTCGGAATACCCAATGGCCGCCTGGGGTAGCAAGAAGGACGCTGTCGAGTCTCAAAACTCAACAGCTGGGGCTAGTGGGAGCCCCGTTACCGGATCGTCCAAACTTCCCTCCTCTCGGTCGATGCCCCGTCAGACGAGTGTCCTTTATTATCTATTATTCTTTGTGCTGCTGCGATCCATTATTTAATTCCTACCACAAGAGTCTGTAAAAGATGAGCTATTTCCGCTGTTACTGTGTTTTTTTGGCAACTTATGTTCTTGAGTGAAGGAATTTTGCTTAACGTAGTCAGCTATTCGCACCAGGTCCCGCACGTATGCAACGACACACTGTATGGCTCGCCCAAACGCCCCATTCTTCTTCAATTTTCTGGCCTCGTTCTCGGCCAGCCCCTGTTTAACAATTTTCCGAAGCCTTTTTCGCTTTGGGAACACCAGTTCACGCAGTTTCTTCGCCCTCATCATTTTCCATCTTATCTTCCATTATTCGTTATAATCTGTACTACTCAAAATTATCGCGAACTAAGTCTTTAACATACACAAAGTTATGCAGAAAGTACGGCTGCAGCGTTTGCTGCGACATTCTAGATCACTACGAAAAGAGTTTCCCTTCTTAGGTAGCCGGCATTTCTTTTATTTTTTCTTAATTGGTGGACCACTTGTCGTCTCCAACATCCTTTATAAATCTCAAGTCTTTATGGCGTTCCCATTTTCTGTCTGAAATCCGTGAACAGTCCACATCATAATGAAATGTCACGTTTTTCGCTTGCCAAACATTTCGCTTACCAAATATAGTAAAACTCTGAACTACTATTCGTAGATAAACTCACCGTTCAGTCTTGGAGGCGGGCTGAAAAGATAGAAAGAAATGAGAGTACGTCATAAAACAAATTCGTGAGTGCAAATTGATCGGCGTACTTTCACGTTTGTTAGATCATCAGAGAACGATTTCTAGCACTCGCCAGAAATTAAACACCCTCTCTTTAATCGACAAGACTGGGAAACCCGAGTGTCCTGGTGCAATCGCCAATGTTGATGAGACATCATCTGGTGTTTCCACCGTGACACGCTCATTGCATCGGAAGTAACAGTCAGATGTCGCCCACCAAAGGAAATAAGACTTCACTTTCAACGCCATATAAAGGGCAAACACATTTTGAAATTATCTAATTTTAACTGGGTTCGTACATTATCCCCAGTGAATGAGTGTAGTGAGCCGATACACAATGAAAAACTGGCTCCTCTCGACTGTGTGGAAAAATCTCTTTTGCAACCCAAAGAAAAGATAATATAATGAATGAAATAGCTTTAGCGCAAGGCGCTTTGTTTCTTCGCTGCCATGATTCACCATACTTAGATATACCAAATTCTGCATGTCGGAACCTTCTTCCAGGTCTGGAATCACTCTAGATTGGATAAGGAGGAAAATGAGGGATGTGATAATGGTTAGCAAAATACCCCGATATGCATATATGCATTCATAAGTGAGATGAAGCGAGGAAGCAGAGAACAGTGGCATTTTTACCGAAAACGTCAGGTTCCAGGTTGCCGTAGTCAAGCTCATCAAAGCCTTGTAATCCTTTCAGAACCAATAATTAACACCAGGTTGGCGTGAATAATGAAAAACACTGAATTGTACTTGGCAGGCCCAATACGGCTTGTAGGCCGGGCTTGTATTGGGTTGATCGGAAAGTTTCGATAGGGTTTCTTGAAAGTTCTTGAGCTGCCTCCCTCCTGAAGCTCTTAATATTATAACGCTGGAAGTATTCCGAAAAAGGAATGTCTGGCGCATCCTGTTGAGTTTTTTTCATCACAAGGTATTTCTAAAGAATGTAGGATGAAGTCTTTGGCGATTGATTCCGATTGATTGATCCCGTGTGTACATAGGATGCGTCCCTGAATTCAACTTATTTTTAGAACCAGTTGGGCTATGCCCGCTAACGCGTGCATTATATGTCGACATCCGCTTATGGAGTCATTCAGCGAAAGTTGGATTATCAGAATAAGATAGAATTCTTAGTGGTTGAGTATAGCTCCGTCCACCTTTTCCTTCCCACTATGAAAACTTGACCACCCTTCTTTTACATGCTCCAAACCATTTTCTCCGCATTCTAGAAAGGGATGAATTTCGGTCCTAACCCCGTTTTCCTGTGCTAGCTCCATCCACTTCGAGGAATCAACGACATTAATTTCATTACTTTTAACCATTTTTTCCCGCATTTCAGAACGTTTCCGAACGAAGTCACACTCATTTTTGAAAAGTAGCTTTCACCTCAATGCACGTCTCACCCATCGTGGGCGGAGCTTCGCTAAGCTTATACGTGCCCAACACGTATAAGACTTTGCTCACTTTCTATTTTTTCCTGGCCTCGACGTCTTCGTCGAGTTTTGAATCTCTGTGGAAATCACAGCTCACTGCGAGAGCTCTGCACAACTTGAGTTTCTCTTTTTTCAAATGTTGACCTATTCCTCACCTTTGCACGTTGTTCACGGCTTCTAGACTGTTATGAGACAGACAAAATTGGAATTTGCCCATGACCGCGCCCAATTACAGCGCACGCCCCGCCCCTTGGGGGCGAAGCTCACATGTGTCTGTTGCCCTATGCTCAACCAGTCCAAACTTGACCCAACTTCTCCAGGTTTTTCTTCATGTTATATCGATAACGCGTGCATTATATGTCGACATCCGCTGAAAAACACTGAATTGTACTTGGTAGGCCCAATACGGCTTGTAGGCCGGGCTTGTATTGGGTTTATTTATTTATTTATTGGGCTATTGTTAAAAGCGACATACAACAGTAGGGTACGGACGAGCGTCAGAGGAACAATAGAATAAAGCATCATATCATATTTACATGAAAGATAAAAAGGAACGAAAGANGCCCATGACCGCGCCCAATTACAGCGCACGCCCCGCCCCTTGGGGGCGAAGCTCACATGTGTCTGTTGCCCTATGCTCGACCAGTCCAAACTTGACCCAGGTTTTTCTTCATGTTATATCGATTCCATGCAAACAAACAAGTAGACAGACAGATAGAGCGCTTCTCATATATGGTAAAGGATGATAGTAACGGTTTTGAACGCATATGTGACTTATTCAATGACTTCCGTGGTAAGCCGATATACAGGTCAGTGTTCTTGTTCTCCTAGGCAGATCTGGTACCGATTAACAGGCCCTAGAGAGATAAAAGGATTGCTCGGTCTTTGCGAGTGTCGATCTGGCATAGGATCCCCGAAGCATGGGGTCGATTCACGCGTGACCCCATTAAAGCTCTTCGCGCACGCAGCATCGCTTCAGTACACTCTGTTTGGATCGACGAAATAAGATTTGCAGTAGTCCATGGCTTCACCGTGAATTAGGGCAAATCTCTTTACTATGGTCATTTCGAGATTAAGAGTTCACTTCATAGGTCAGCGTCTACTTATCAAACGTTCAAAATAAGAATAAGTTCAAATTTTTTGATCTTAGGAAATGCAATCCTTCCGTAAACGTGGTGATGATGATGGTAGGCATGATGGTATACCGCGTCTCGCGATGACCTTATTATATTGGCGCGTGAAGGGGGACGGTACGAACGAGCGTCCGAGGGTGCGCGCGGCGAATTGCGCGGCAAAGTTTATGACGATTTGTACGACTGCGGCGCCAATTTTCGGGGCACAAACTCGAAGTAGTGTAGTTTAGTTGGCTCAGATGATCCTCCTAATCCACTCTATTTGAAATTTGAGCNCCAATGACAGGCGCCGAACTCGTTCAAACCATTACGAACTTCGCCGCGCAACTTGCCGCGCGTATCCTCGGACCCACGCTCGTACACATACCACCCGCGCGTGAATAGCACTACACTCCCCGAAGTATACGTGTGCAATATGTAGTGCGCTTTTTGCCATCGCAGCACCTCACCCTACTGTAGCTGTAGAGACGTATTAGGTTGTGCTTTCAGGTCTGTTGTCTTCAATGGTCAACGATACATCTAGCTCCTGAGCCGATGGTGTCGACGTCTCAGCTAAGCTCTTAGCGGAGGCTGTCATTGGGCTTGCTTACTGCAATGACCACCGACAGCATTGAAATGTTCAAGTGATTTTGGTTTTAATTTGAATCTTTTGATTGTGTTGGTATATTTCTCATGTTTATGAGAGTTGTTTGTTCGTTTCTCACTTCAGTTCCTTTGTCTCTTTGTATCTTGCCTGGTTTCTACTTATTTTTTGTCGCATGTATTCTAGTACATATAACAGCCATCTATCGGCTTTGTTCACTTCATGACCATTCTAGAAAATCAGCTGCTCTGTTTTAGCTTATAGCTAACGACTATCAGAAATTCAGCTCAGCGAAGCATTTCCTAGACCTCACTGTTCTCAGCGTATTTCTTCTTTTTGCATTTAAATTCTGCCTTGAAACTTTTACATTCACAAGATCATTTATGACCATTGTTGATTTCTGATAAATCTAACAACCTTTATAGTTATAGGTGAATATTAATGAATAGATGGTTTTCGTGGAAGGGTGTACGTGTTGGCTGGCTGGATGGCTGGCTAGTCACTTCCTTCCCTGTCATCGTATGGTATGCACATGAATTCGCCATTTACACTTCGACACAACAGTAATTCTGAAAATTGCTATGATCTTCCAAAAATGGAAAGAAACAAAAAAAAAATAGGAAATGCTAGTCCTAGAAAGGTTTTTTATTTCAAGTGATGTCCTCGAAGAGCGGGTGCATTGGGCGGAACTCTTCGAAGAGCAGGGCCATTGGGCGGAACTATCTGAGGTGAACTTATCGAGTGCAGTTGTAGTGGCGGGAACGATTGTTGGTACTTTGGGTATAATTGTAAAAGCTAGCGGGATGAGATTTAGTCTGACTATGTTTGATTGAAGTCCTACTTCGATAGAAATTTCAGGAAGAAATACNTACCATTATTAGGGCCGATGACGGACCGCTTCCCATATCGGGACAAGACTGTTCTGCCGTATCTGGAGAGATGGGCAGGTCTTTTCTCCAGATTTTGATTGTCAGCGATAAGGAGAACCACGAAGCAAAACACAAGTGTGAGTCGAAGCCAGAACTGCATTGAACCTGGAATCGGAGTGATTTTGCTTAGTCAGTACGGAGAAGAAGGGAGCATTTAAGGGCGGTAAAGAAGCGAATGCAAATGGCGAAAAGGCTACAGAAAGCAGATGTGGGCACAGGACAATTGGGATTTTTGATTACTAGATCAAAATGATGCGAATGATCAAACGAGTAATTTTTCCACAAATTAATCTGCAGAACGAGTTGAGTGCTCAGCTTTGTACATAAGTCAGTGCATTTGTCCATACGAGCTCGATATAACAAACCGTGAGCGATATATGCAAAGCTTGGTTGTTGGAAAGGAGCTACCGGCCAAGATCTATCACTGGGACCGCATGCCTGTTTCAATTCAAGGTTGAGCAGGAAGCTAGTGCACATGTCCGGGATACCTACAGTGGGACCCCCAAGGCTATAGCGCAATGGGTGTTTGCGTTGAACTGACCTTCAGTTTGTTCTGGCCTTGCCCGTGAGGGGCTGAGATAGGGCAAAAGCCGGTGACGTCATACCACAAGTACACTTCGAATTCCTTTCAGTACTCGACAGTACCACACACTAACACAACTGTTACTCTTCCTGACGAGACCGCCAATTTACAGTAGCACACACGTCAATGGGAATAGCACACTGACTTTTACATTTAGTGGGTTCCGAAAGTTGTAGCGATCAAATGCGCATTCAAATGTGATTGGAATTTCCACTGAAGGTAGCATGTGCCAGCGCACATCAAAAAAGATCGGTTAAGGTTGGCTGACTTTGGCTCTTTTTTGAAATCCCTCCAAATAATCGCTGGCGCTACGCTTATGTTTTGACATATGTATTTTTGCTTTTCTTCAATACGTTAGAGCTCGCTTTCCCCCATTTTTCAAAATGCTCTTCAATATTATATTCGCAATAAGAATGTCATTTGCTCTCTCCGGTCCTCAATCAATCACCTTGCACTGTTTTGCATTTCATATTGCAAAAGTGTTTTTTAAAATTTCAATATAAATTAGATGACCAAATCCAATCCATTTCACATCTTCAGGCACCGTTTTTGCTTCAGACCATACCTGACAGATCTAAGCGATGTCGTAGAAAGCGGTAGTTACTATGAATGAAATTGATTCAAAGCATGATGTCATCTTTAAGGCAGTGGCACGAAAAATTAGCTGCAGCACATCAAAAACCATAGGCATCACGAAACGAGGTGGAAGTCGTGGGCAAAAAGGGGGCATGCAAAGTTTCGCTTTATCGGAGACACAGTTAATTTTGTTGCGGGAATTACCGCCTTCAAAAGGACGAGTTAACATGGCACCCGAGTTGGCGATTGGGCACGTTATCCAAGGGGAACGCCGAAAATGCAGCAGGTCGTGTTCTTGAAGGGGAATACAGGTGATGTTGGGAAGGTGGGAACCTGCCTAGACACCCAGACATTTTCAATCTTCTAGTATTATAATAGTCACATGATTTTCAATCGTAGAACCTTCAGATAAAGATTTGTCAATACCAAACTATAACTACTGCTTCCAACCTCTGAAACTTCACGCCAGCGCTAGAAAGAACTGCTTTTCAAAATATACTGTCGGCAACACGTTGCATAAGAAGTGGGAGAGGCGATTTTTTTTTATCAATAAACGCGGTGAACGTTGTAATAAAAGAGTAGAATAAGTGGAGTAAGCGTTACAAGTGTCTTTTCAGCTGTGGCTCAAAGAAATCATTGACTGACAGTTTCGTATTAGATCGTGACCAACATATGACCTTTTTTTCACAAAGAGATGCTTGAAAAGGCGAAGTACATAGTATTCTAAAGGAGCCAAATTCCGGGAGTACGACTAACTAACAAGCTGGAACCAAGCGAAGCCTGTGAAAAACAAGGCCAGTGAATTTTTGGCTGGTGTCTAAAGCGAAATTTAGACGTGCGTTGTCGCTCTGTAGGTAACTGAGTTATAGTTTCGGACTCTTTCTCTAACCGCGTTGTCCAAATGCTGGGGCTCATAGGGGTGGGCGATAGCTGTGTCGATATAGTCTACATTTAGGAGCTCATAACGGATGAATCCCTTCAACCTCCATAAAATTAAGGGGCGATGCATGCGTTACTTTAAAGGCTAGTGTCTTTTCAAATGGATTGGGTTCCCAAAGAGAGCGGGAAAGTGAATTCTACTTCGTCAAACCTCTGACTACTTTGGCTCTCATATCCAAATCTCTCTAAAATAGTGAAAATTTCAAAGCAGCTCATATTGAGGAACCTAATATAATTGCTATAAAATAACTGCTGTTGCCCTTTCTAATACTAATTAGTACTAATTAATCGAAAATGGAAGCGATGGTGGCTGCTGCGGGTGATTTCCTTCCAGCAAGCAGTACAATCCCTGGTATGACCACGATTGTCAGATAATCGATCGTTACTGATTTTCAAGTACAATTAGGAAATCCTCAGTATTTTTACTACAAGATAAAAATAATCGTTATTCCTTATAATAAGGGGGCCACTACCGCTTGTGAATAGTATTTTGTGGGTTTATTTGAAATTTAGTTTCTCGATTGAGCCGGAGCGAGTTTTGCTCTCGAAGTCGTTTCCTGGGAAGGGTCACTGAAGGGTCTCCCCACTGGATTTCTCCGCCAGCTTGTTGCTCCGTCCCTCTCAGCTCTTTCCACTTATCTCTTCAACTAATAAACTTGTCTACCACATACAGTCAACAAACTCACCCCTTTCGTATCCGAATCGACATTTTCCTAATACTCATACCTCACATAAAAACAAGAATTGCTTATTGAAGGCACAAGATCTTATCTAGGTCCACTTCTTCAACCTTGAAAACGTAGATATCCACAACAAGAGACTGTTCGGCATTTTTCATAGTCCACGACCGGTCGCGGACTATGAAAGATGCCATTGGATCACTCCAATCGTTTTTCTGGACGTACATGTTGTGCTGATGGAAGGGCCAGGGTTCAAACTTGCCTGTTCTTCCTAGAGTAGGAAGTTTAAAATGCAAATATATCCCCCTACACGTTCATCCGTTGATCAGCAGGTCTTCCTGAGAAGTGAGGGTTATGTGAGTTTGTAGAAAAGTATGGGTTCCTGCAGAATGTTCTTGAAGGGGGTTGTAGCAATCGGTGTTCCATGCAGAGCTTCTCCGAATTTTTTTGCTGCGTTTCCCTACCAGTTCTGGTAGCGTATCAAACCTCTCCATTCAGTTTCCTAACTGGTGAGGGTGGTCCGGCCCCTCGCTACGGTGGACTACAAAGAGTCCACGAAGTCGCTTCTGATTTTGATTAATTCGAGCAGCGCAAAGATTTGATTTCACAGGACTTTCATAGCAAAAATTCTGAATTTTGCTATTGTTGCTACCACGAAACGTAATGAGATTTTTTGAAAGGAAAGACCCGCACACCACTGCCTGAGGTCCATAAAAGTCTTTCCTAATTATACCTCTCGAACACTGTTAATTGTACCTCTCCAACACTACTAATTGGACCTTTCCAACACTACTGGAATTGGGGATTCACCCAAGTGAAAGCGAATCGACCACCGAAATCGATGTGGTGCTAGAGAACTGCAAGAAATCGGCACAATGCTAAATAGCAAATTTTCCTACCTAGAAGCTTGATGATGGCCTGATACTAACCAGGCCATCATCAAGCTTCTAGGTAGGAAAAAGTAAGTGTTAGGGTAAAAGTGTAAGAAAGATAAGGACTAGAGGTTCTCAGATGGGATTCCAGTTGCGATTTTTCTGTTTCAGTTAGAGCCTGAATTTGGAAAAAAAGAGATTTCCTTGAGTCCAGAGTTTTTTTTTCGAAACTTCCAAAGACTAGTACTCAACTATTAAATAGGCTGAATAGCTATTCCCAGTGCTCAGTATGCTGCAGATGCACTATTAAAGCCTGTGAATTGTTCATATATTTATGCTATATTTGTATTTTTAATATATTTTTGAATGCTGGTTCATGTCGGTACCTTGTGGAATTCGAACTTATTTATGACTCGTGCCCCACCGTACGTAAATGATAAGGTCTCCGGGTGTTTACCGGTCCAGTCTGAGGGATGCGTCCCGCATCGTAGGGTTGGAAGCTTGGGTTGACCTAGGCGGTTCTCAATGCGGGATTCGAACCCACCGCACATATTCCTTCGAATGTTAAAATCTGTCCAAAGGCTGCCTGAATACAAATTTGTTTGGAAAAAGCTTTAGAAATTATATTGACTCGCAAAATTTCAGTGTTTTAATTCATAATTTTTAATGGACGTTACATCTCAGCAAATGCACTTGTAGGCTTAATAGCATAGCAAGTAAAAATAAAATAACATCGAATAGAGGTCCGAGTAGAAGAGATGAATGGCAAGGTAGCAATCGTGAGGGCAACGTTCACGAACTGCGTTTCAAGGCAGTAACAAGCTAATTCCCACCCATTTTCGTTTTTTTCAAGTTTATCAAAATTTGCATGACATAGCAGGCTGAGACCTGATCTAAGGTGAACAATTACTTATGCATAGATTTCTAATGCATGTTTAATAAATTCGAAAATTACAAATGGGGATCATCTGGGCGATGAGAGATAAATGATCTCATGCAATATGTTGTGGTAAAGCTTAATAAATGTTTCTAAATTACGTGGGGAGGAGCTGATAGAAGTTTTTTTTTCATGACAAGAAGTCTAGGACAAGGAATTCGGCACCTGACTAGACTCGAGGGTCCTCTCCTAGTTCGCATATAGTTTAGAGACCCCATTACACTGAGGAGGTTCCTACAGCATCAGCAAGTCATAGCCACGTTATCGCACGCTTTTGGACAGGTTGAGCAAAGGTCGGCGGATGCACTCTCCGAAATGTAAGTAGAAAAGAGAGGGGGTGGTGTAATGGCAAGTCGTGTGCTATCACATACGCCCATCCTAGGGATTCAATCCCAGATTGATACTCGCCTAAGCTAAGCAACCGCCGTCTGGGAGGACCAAAGCACTGACTCGTACATTGGTTGGCCCGCACAAGTCATTCAATCGGCCTCATAGGCATTCATAATGATGCTA